AGGACGATATATCATGTACACATATGTCATGTTGGATGATACCTGAGGAAGAACTTAACTCGTTCCGGAAAGGCTANCCAGATATAACTACGTATGACTGAGTATGACTNTGGGTTGTTATTTTGGTAATTCTCTCTGCCAGGTATAACTACGTATAACTNAATATGACTATGTATGAGTTGTATGACTATGTATGACTGAATATGAATGTGTTGATTATTTTTNTTTCTTTTTCTCTTTACGTTTTGTTTCCTTATTATATTCGTTTATGTACCTACGACTGTGTCTACTTGATACTTATGTAGCAATAGAAACATACGAATAATTNTATAGAATTTAGAGCAAAACATATATTTTTACTAAAACTATACCTTATACATATGGTTCATGTATGAGTTACTAGCCTCATTGTTATGTNAAACATCCGATTATGTTGTTGTCAGACATTTTAGTATATGAAACGATAGCAAATATATTTAAAGTGATCAATTGAGTCAATACTANTAGAAAAGTTATAATCTTATGTAGGTACTACTGGTTATACTTGAAAACAGTTGAAATATAACTATGTGTATACCAGTACTACTTGAAAACTAAGTATGACTATTAGTAAAGTAAATATAATTTTTAATTCGTTTTGACGGCGCATGTGTTAAATATTTTTTTTTAATAATAACTGCTAGGTATAACTAAGTATAACTGAGTACTACTATGTATGAGGTGTATGACTATGTATGATTGAATATGAATGTGTTGATTATTTTTCTTTCTTTTTCTCTTTACGTTTTGTTTCCCTACTATGTTCGTTTATGTACCTACGACTGTGTCTACTTGATACTTATGTNGCAGTAGAAATATACGAATAATTTTATAGAATTTAGAGCAAAANATATATTTTTACTAAAACTATACCTTATACATATGGTTCATGTATGAGTTANTAGCCACTTTGTTATGTGAAACATCCGATTATGGTGTTGTCGGACATTTTAGTATANGAAATGATAGNAAATATATTTAAAGTGATCAATTGGGTCAATACTACTAGAAAAGTTATAATCTTATGTACTTACTACTGGTTATACGTGAAAACAGTTAAAATATAACTATATGCAAACCAGTACTACTCGAAAACTAAGTATAACTATGTGCAAACTAAATATAATTTTTAATTCGTTTTGACGGCGCATGTGTTAAGTATTTTTTTAATAATAAATTATTGATATAGATTATTTCCAACGTTTTTCTTTATTTGTTGTTCTTATTTTTGTACACACTTGCATAATACACAGTAGTACTTAGTATTACTAGTAGTACCAAA